AAATTTCTGAAGGGAACATTTGGTGACTCAGCAGAATGAACAGAGATTGGTTATATCGTTAACCAATGGGTAGGTTGTGTTTCGGCTGTTTCGAATGTTTGAACTGTCGTGTATAGTTTGTGTATTGTAAACATACAGTCAGTTATTATAATGATGTATGAAACATACAACAAAACAGGAATGGGTGGACTCTTTGGCAAGTCAGATCTCAGATATCGAACAAAGGTTTGTTAGTATCTTTAGATAAGTAAACCAATTATCGATTGAAATAATTAAACCATTGAACAGAGATATTATTTATTATTATGTATTATATATATGTGATATGTATATATTCTGTGTAAACAACTTTTACTCGAATATTCAATTGCTAACGGCTGAAGGGATAGTGTAAATCCAGCAAGGGCCATGCAGGAAGCAAATGAACTGTAAGTCCTCATGGTCCCAAGTATGGTGTTATATCTACAGTTGTTGGTAATCTATAGCCGGTTTCTATATTGTATTATCATATATGGGTAAAATATTCTAGACTGAACTGCACACGCTCCTACCCCCAAACCGAGAAGCATCGTGATTTAGGTTATTTCTATAATTAGCACAATATAATAGGCTAATAGGTATTTTACATACAATAATTACACATAATAATAAACCTATATCTTTAAAACAATAATAATGATAATGTTGAAGTTTGTTGCCATTTGCACAAACATATATCTTAGATATATGAACTAAACCTGGTGATAAGTCTTACACTCGAGTACTAGTGTGACAGACAAGCCCATGCACAAAACATTCTTGAAATGTGTCCTCACCGTCAATAGTCATATTTACATTTTTGCATGTGGCCGGTCATCAATTTCAGCCTTCCTGGCATGTACCACACAGTCTCTGACCACAAACCCAAATTAGCCCACAGTCTTAAAACAACATTTCATGGTTAGTTGACTGTTTTTTACGCAATGATACACCACTAAAAATGTCCACCTCTTGTGGCAGGTGCTAATTAGAGGGTACCAATTAAATGTATATTCTACCACAATAAGCCCATTATTCCCTGACAAAGGTTCACTTTCATGACATGTAATAAACCTTGTCCTGGCAGACAGAGGGCTTATAATTAATCCATGATGTAAAGTAGGTCTATGTAATTCGTGTTTATACAAATTGGGAAAAATATTTCGCTTTGTGGATAACAAGTAAAATATACATTTAAAACGGTATTTTGGAAAATTGTACCTTTACTTGGGGCAAATATAACAGACAATATACATTTTGACACTGACAATAAGAAAGATGAAGATGAGTGAAGTTATACTAATATAAAGGATTGGTTCCTAGTTGAAGGACGAGTAGAAAACACCTATTTTAAACATGATCACAACTTTCAAAAAGAAGTATCTCTTCACGTGTCAGATGCAGTTACATTAATATAAAGCACAAATAGATAGCTCAAAGATGGCATATTCATGCAATCGCCATGAATAAATTTTGTCAAATGCAAAATGCATTATGTAGATCAACAGTAAGAACTATAACAGAACAAAATATGTATGATATCGTTAAACGTACACGCTCATGGGGATCCTTTGAAGGAGGAACTGAACGAAGCAGCAGTAAAATCCTTCCTATATATCCAAAAGATTTCCAAGGCTTTGGATAGCTCATATTTCCAATTTTGGAAATGTTTGGATATATGATATTTCCAAATTGGAAATGTTTGGATATGACCATTTTTTTTCTAGTGTCTATCACCATTACTAGCATATCTATCACCATTTCTAGCCTATCATCATTACTAGCCTATCTATCACCATTTCTAGCCTATCTATCACCATTACTAACCTATTTATGACCATTACTACCCTATCTATCACCATTCCTAGCCTATCTATCACCATTACTACCCTATCATCAATACTAGCCTATATATCATCAATACTAGCCTATCTATCACCATTTCTAGCCTATCATCCTTACTAGCCTATCTATCATCATTACTAGCCTATCTATCACCATTACTAGCCTATCATCATTACTAGCCTATCTATCATCATTACTAGCCTATCTATCACCATTACTAGCCTATATATCACCATTTCTAGCCTATCATCATTACTAGCCTTTCTATCACCATTCCTAGCCTATCTATCACCATTACTACCCTATCATCATTACTAGCCTATATATCATCAATACTAGCCTATCTATCACCATTTCTAGCCTATCATCCTTACTAGCCTATCTATCATCATTACTAGCCTATCTATCACCATTACTAGCCTATCATCATTACTAGCCTATCTATCATCATTACTAGCCTATCTATCACCATTACTAGCCTATATATCACCATTTCTAGCCTATCATCATTACTAGCCTTTCTATCACCATTCCTAGCCTATCTATCACCATTACTACCCTATCATCATTACTAGCCTATATATCATCAATACTAGCCTATCTATCACCATTTCTAGCCTATCATCCTTACTAGCCTATATATCATCAATACTAGCCTATCTATCACCATTTCTAGCCTATCATCCTTACTAGCCTATCTATCATCATAACTAGCCTATCTATCACCATTACTAGCCTATCATCATTACTAGCCTATCACCATTACTAGCCTATCATCATTACTAGCCTATCTTTCATCATTACTAGCCTATCTATCATCATTACTAGCATATCATCATTTCTAGCCTATCTATCACCATTACTAGTCTATTTCTAGCCTATCATCATTACTAGCCTATCTATCATCATTACTCGCCTATCTATCATCATTACTAGCCTATCTATCACCATTACTAGCCTATTATCATTACTAGCCTATCTATCATCATTACTAGCCTATCTATCACCATTACTAGCCTATATATCACCATTTCTAGCCTATCATCATTACTAGCCTTTCTATCACCATTCCTAGCCTATCTATCACCATTACTACCCTATCATTATTACTAGCCTATCACCATTACTAGCCTATCATCATTACTAGCCTATCTATCACCATTACTAGCCTATTTATCATCATTACTAGCCTATCTATCACCATTACTAGCCGATCTATCATCATTACTAGCATATCATCATTACTAACCTAACATCATTACTAACCTATCATCATTACTAGCCTATCTATCATCATTACTAGCATATCATCATTACTAGCCTATCTATCACCATTACTAGCCTATCATTATTACTAGCCTATCACCATTTCTAGCCTATCATCATTACTAGCCTATCTATCACCATTACTAGCCTATCTACCATCGTTTCTAGCCTATCTATCATCAATACTAGCCTATCTATCAGCATTACTAGCCTATCATCATTACTAGCCTATCTTTCATCATTACTAGCCTATCTATCATCATTACTAGCATATCATCAATACTAGCCTATCTATCACCATTACTAGTCTATTTCTAGCCTATCATCATTACTAGCCTATCTATCATCATTACTAGCCTATCTATCATCATTACTAGCCTATATATCACCATTTCTAGCCTATCATCATTCCTAGCCTTTCTATCACCATTCCTAGCCTATCTATCACCATTACTACCCTATCATTATTACTAGCCTATCACCATTTCTAGCCCAGCATCATTACTAGCCTATCTATCACCATTACTAGCCTATTTATCATCATTAGTAGCCTATCTATCACCATTACTAGCCGATCTATCATCATTACTAGCATATCATCATTAATAGCATATCATCATTACTAGCCTATCTATCATCATTACTAGCATATCATCATTACTAGCCTATCTATCACCATTACTAGCCTATCTACCATCGTTTCTAGCCTATCTATCATCAATACTAGCCTATCTATCAGCATTACTAGCTCAACTATCATCATCACTAGTCCGACTATCATCATTACTGTCCCTACTATCATTATCACTAGTCCAACTATCATCATTACTCGCCCTACTATCATCATTACTGGCCCTACTATCGTCATTACTAGCCTAATTATCGTCATTACTGGCCCAACTATCATCATTACTAGCCCAACTATAATTATTACTGGCCCAACTATCACCATTACTAGCCTAACTATTATCATTACTAGCCTAACTATAATTATTATTAGCCTAACTGTCATCATCACTAGCCTATCTATCATCACTACTAGCCTATCTATCACCATTACTAGCCTATCTATCACCATTACTACCCTATCATCATTACTAGCCTATGTATCATCAATACTAGCCTATCTATCATCATTACTAGCATATCATCATTAATAGCATATCATCATTACTAGCCTATCTATCACCATTACTAGCCTATCTACCATCATTACTAGCCTATCTATCATCAATACTAGCCTATCTATCAGCATTACTAGCCCATCTATCATCAATACTAGCCCAACTATCATCATCACTAGTCCAACTATCATCATCACTAGTCCAACTATCATCATCACTAGCCTAATTATCATCATTACTAGCCCAACTATCATCATCACTAGTCCAACTATCATCATAACTAGCCCAACTATCATCATTACTAGCCCAACTATCATCATCACTAGTCCAACTATCATCATCACTAGTCCAAATATCATCATAACTAGCCCAACTATCATCATCACTAGTCCAACTATCATCATCACTAGTCCAACTATCATCATCACTAGCCTAATTATCATCATTACTAGCCCAACTATCATCATCACTAGTCCAACTATCATCATCACTAGTCCAACTATCATCATAACTAGCCCAACTATCATCATCACTAGTCCAACTATCATCATAACTAGCCCAACTATCATCATCACTAGTCCAACTATCATCATCACTAGTCCAACTATCATCATCACTAGCCCAACTATAATTATTACTGGCCAAACTATCACCATTACTAGCCTAACTATTATCATTACTAGCCTAACTATAATTATTATTAGCCTAACTGTCATCATTACTAGCCCAACTATCATCATTCTTCAGGTGATTGACAAGACAAATAGGGCACAGATCATCAACGATGCCTGGGACTTGGCCCGGTACGTATGTAGGAACTGCCACAGCTGCGGTCATCGCCATCGGCTTTGTCGTCCTGGGCTCCTTGCGATTATTAAACCATTGCCACATTGGTATCTGAATGTATCATCTTTACACAGGAGCGTCATTAGCACGATAATTAAATAATTGCCACATTGGTATCTGAATGTGTCATCTTTACACAGGAGCGTCATTAACACGATAATAAAACCATTGTTATATTGGTATCTGAATGTATCATCTTTACACAGGAGCGTCATTAGCACGATAATTAAACCATTGCCACATTGGTATCTGAATGAGTCATCTTTACACAGGAGCGTCATTAACACGATAATTAAACCATTACCACATTGGTATCTGAATGTATCATCTTTACACAGGAGCGTCATAAACACGATAATTAAACCATTGCCACATTGGTATCTGAATGTATCATCTTTACACAGGAGCGACATTAGCACGATAATTAAACCATTGCCACATTGGTATCTGAATGTATCATCTTTACACAGGAGCGTCATTAGCACTTGTCACTGGCGTACGTGATGTCAAGTACTGACACAGTGTATACGTCACGTGACAGCAGGTTGCGACAGATCATTACGGAAACGTGTACCCAAGGTACAAAGGCATATTTTCGGTGACACCGTCGGACAGTCTGTCCACATTTGTCACACACAGTGTGTCCAAGGTCATTTATAGTATTTAAGACAGTAGTTGACTCTGTGTCTGAAGCGATTATCGTGTGATAATGATAATCATCATAGTATTTCCCGAAGAACCACACGTCAGGCAGTGTATGCCATTCAAATCAGAAAATTAACTATTTGTCACAGATCCGGCCACCTGAAACAGGAGATAGCGCTCCAGACAGTGGAGTATCTAAGCAATGAGACTGATTACTTCCCCTGGACTGCTGCTAGGGGAAAGCTAGCGTACGTGGACTCTATGCTGCAGAACACAGAGATGTATGGACGGTTTAAGGTGAGAAAGTAGTGAACACCAGGAAGGGAGTGATTACCTCCCTGGACTGCCCCTAAGGGAAAGCTCGTGTATATTGACAATCTGCTGCATGAGATGTGTGGACTGTGTACGGTGAGCTACACGCGAGAGGGATAATTACTTTTTGATATTATCAATTCCGTCATGGATATGGGGACCGTCAGTACTTCTTACTGAATATTATGATCTGGTCTTCCAATCGATCAGTAAGTTCGCTTTAGTGTTATGTTAATGTTTGCGGAAAACTAAACTTCAACTTTGCAGCATATGAAATGGGACCAATAATTCAAGACATTCCATGGATCACCTCTAGCCTGGAGAATGGTTTAGGTGCTGAACCAGGGACTGTGAGAGTCACAGATGTATTAGGTGGTCACCTGCTGTACCGCACTGAGTATGGGGAGACTGTGAGAGTCACAGATGTTTTAGGTGGCTACCTGCTGTACAGCACTGAGTATGGGGAGACTGTGAGAGTCACAGGTGTATTAGGTGGCTACTTGCTGTACAGCACTGAGTATGGGGAGACAATGAGAGTCACAGATGTATTAGGTGGCTACCTGCTGTACAGCACTGAGTATGGGGAGGTGTTATGGCGCTGAAACATTTCGGACAGTTTTATTTAAATGCTATTTCAAAACAAATGTTAAGTAAGGGTTCTGTTAAATTCCGGTTAGGAACGGTTTAAAGTTCAGATTCAGAAAGATGATGAAAGACATGATCCGTCACTCTTTTCAAACCTCTAAATTTGGCACTAAATTTTCCCTGATTTTTTCATTAGTCTTCTTGGACACCGAAAATGTTCAATAAAAATAGATTTGGGGCACATCTTGATCACTATGAAAGGGTTTCCCTGCACTCAAGTGAGTTGTATGTTTGGCAGAAATTCATGAGGACCATAACAGCAACACCCTTCTCTAAAGTGGGTCTGAATGACACAGGTGCTTCCCAACTTGAATCGTGAGTAGAGCAAAATCCACACACAGACATCTTTCCCACAGAGAACAAACCATTTAACGTTATTGTGTGTACATGTGCATACACACGACAAATATTGCTAGATGTGCACATGACAAGAGATCCTCAGTGCGAGCTTGCTTTGAGGTGTCTAATTTGGTTGAGCCGGTAAGGGGCCATGACGTATTTGATGGCATCTCATCCTGACGGACTGGATCGTTACTTATAACATCAATCATTTGTCCTTGTGGTCCGTTTGCCATTATTCGTTGTGTACCGTGACGTGGCTGGCCACTGTTTGGCGCGAATTCATCTGTTTACCTGTAGAAAATGTCCAGTCAAACCTTCACACAGGAAATAGGCAAGTCCATGAGAGTATAGATCGTGAAGTGCCATCTTCCCTTGTGTACCCATACGTACGTTGATGGGTCATACGTTCCGGCTGGGTAACAACTGATGGTACCTTGTTTCTTTAAGTCAAATATATCCAAGACTTGATGGGTCATACGTTCCGGCTGGGTAACAACTGATAGTACCTTGTTTCTTTAAGTCAAATATCGCCAAGACTTGATGGGTCATACGTTCTGGCTGAGTAACAACTGATGGTACCTTGTTTCTTTAAGTCAAATATATCCAAGACTTGATGGGTCATAAGTTCCGACTGGGTAACAACTGATGGTACTTTGTTTCTTTACGTCAAATATCGCCAAGACTTGATGGGTCATAAGTTCCGGCTGGGTAACAACTGATGGTACTTTGTTTCTTTAAGTCAAATATCGCCAAGACTTGATGGGTCATAAGTTCCGGCTGGGTAACAACTGATGGTACTTTGTTTCTTTACGTCAGAAATCGGCAAGAGTTCATGGGTCATAAGTTCCGGCTGGGTAACAACTGATAGTACCTTTGTTTCTTTGTCAAATATCGCCAAGACTTGATGGGTCATAAGTTCTGGCTGGGTAACAACTGATGGTACTTTGTTTCTTTACGTCAGAAATCGGCAAGAGTTCATGGGTCATAAGTTCCGGCTGGGTAACAACTGATAGTACCTTGTTTCTTTAAGTCAAATATCGCCAAGACTTGATGGGTCATAAGTTCCGGCTGGGTAACAACTGATGGTACTTTGTTTCTTTACGTCAGAAATCGGCAAGAGTTCATGGGTCATAAGTTCCGGCTGGGTAACAACTGATAGTACCTTGTTTCTTTCAGTCAAATATCGCCAAGACTTGATGGGTCATAAGTTCCGGCTGGGTAACAACTGATGGTAATTTTGTTTCTTTACGTCAGAAATCGGCAAGAGTTCATGGGTCATAAGTTCCGGCTGGGTAACAACTGATAGTACCTTGTTTCTTTCAGTCAAATATCGCCAAGATTTGATGGGTCATAAGTTCCGGCTGGGTAACAACTGATGGTACTTTGTTTCTTTACGTCAGAAATCGGCAAGAGTTCATGGGTCATAAGTTCCGGCTGGGTAACAACTGATAGTACCTTGTTTCTTTAAGTCAAATATCGCCAAGACTTGATGGGTCATAAGTTCTGGCTGGGTAACAACTGATGGTACCTTGTTTCTTTACGTCAGAAATCGGCAAGAGTTCATGGGTCATAAGTTCCGGCTGGGTAACAACTGATAGTACCTTGTTTCTTTCAGTCAAATATCGCCAAGACTTGATGGGTCATAAGTTCTGGCTGGGTAACAACTGATGGTACTTTGTTTCTTTACGTCAGAAATCGGCAAGAGTTCATGGGTCATAAGTTCCGGCTGGGTAACAACTGATAGTACCTTGTTTCTTTAAGTCAAATATCGCCAAGACTTGATGGGTCATAAGTTTTGGCTGGGTAACAACTGATGGTACCTTGTTTCTTTACGTCAGAAATCGGCAAGAGTTCATGGGTCATAAGTTCTGGCTGGGTAACAAAGTAAGACACGCCGTGTGGTGACTCTGATTTCCATTTCATTGGTATAAAGCGAAAGCTGCAGTGCTGTCCGGGTTATTTCTACTTTCCTGCTTTCCTACATCATGTGCTTGGTCGTGTCCATCGTTAGGAAATAGTGTAAAATTTTGTGTTGAAAGGTCTGGAGTTTAGTATCCGTAGTACATCAGAATGTGTCGCGTCCTCTATATGCAATACTTCCTGTCAGTGACAGTCAGTCATTGCTCCATTTCGCTGAATGCTTAATGTCCTCAGCTTCCTTGTGAAAGATATTGGGTGCCTTTTGGTCTGGGGATACACCAGGGGCAGCATGCTCAGTCAGTACGCGTCTGTTTCTGCAAGACTGCTTTCTTGTGTATGTTTGTCAAAGTCATTGTTTTTTAACTTATTTTTTTAACAAATTGGCTGAAAGGGTGGAAAATGCACAAGGTGTCGTAAAATAGACCTTTCCCATTTGTCCCAATGCTTTCGTTTAACTTAACATTTCCAGTATGAATGACAGATTTGCCGGGACTGACAAGATTCCATGCCTAGTCATCCTTGAGAAGCTGACTTTCAATTCTTATTGAAACGTCACCTTCAGAAGGTCAATCTCAGCCGTCATGCTGATCGAAGCCAAATCCAGTCCTCTGTTGGAAAGTGAATCTCACCTCTTGTCCTGATCCAGTCCTCCATTAGAAGGTGAAGCCAGATCTAGTGCCTTGCTAGAAGGTGACCCCATGCTCTTGTCCTGATTGAAGCCAGATCTTATTCTTTGTTTGAAGGTGACTCCATGTTCTTGTCATGAGTGAAACCAGATCTAGTTACTTGTGAGAAGGTGACCAAATGGTCTTGTCCTGATTGAAGCCAGATCTAGTTCCTTGTTTGAAGTGACCCCATGCTCTTGTCATGAGTGAAACCAGATCTAGTTACTTGTTAGAAGGTGACCAAATGCACTTGTCCTGGGTGAAGCCAGATCAAGTTACTTGTTTAAAGGTGACCCCATGCTCTTGTCCTGAGTGAAGCCAGATCTTGTTCTTTGTTTGAAGATGACCCAATGCTCTTGTTCTGGTTCCTTTTGTTGAAGCCAGTTCTGAGTTATTCTTTGTTTTGAAGGTGACTCCATGTTCTTGTCATGAGTGAAGCCAGTCCTAGTTCCTTGTTTAAAGGTGACCCCATGCTTTTGTCCTGAGTGAAGCCAGTCCTAGTTCCTTGTGAGAAGGTGACCCCGTGCTCCCCTCCTGAGTGATGCCAGGTCTAGTTCCTTGTTGAAAGGTGACTCCATGCTCTTGTCCTGAGTGAAGCCAGATCTAGTTCCTTGTTAGAAGGTGACCCCATGCGCTTGTCCTGAGTGAAGCCAGATCTAGTTCCTTGTTAGAAGGTGACCCCATGCGCTTGTCCTGAGTGAAGCCAGATGAAGTTTCTTGTTTGAAGGTGACGCCATGCTCTTGTCCTGATTGAACACAGATCTAGTTCCTTGTTCGAAGTGACCCCATGCTTTTTTGTCCCGAGTGAAGCCATTCCTAGTTCCTTGTTAGAAGGTGACCCCATGCTCTTGTCCTGAGTGGAGCCAGATCTAGTTCCTTGTAAGAAGGTGACCCCATGCGCTTGTCCTGAGTGAAGCCAGATCTAGTTCCTTGTAAGAAGGTGACCCCATGCGTTTGTCCTGAGTGAAGCCAGATCTAGTTCCTTGTAAGAAGGTGACCCCATGCACTTGTCCCGAGTGAAGCCAGATCTAGTTCCTTGTAAGAAGGTGACCCCACGCACTTATTTAGATAGGCGTCCACATCATTGTGACGTCACATCATTAGTGTCATATAAATTGCTCAGTGGTGATTCTGAGCTGTATTAAGTATATATTCTACAACGGAACCAATGTATCGTTTTTCGCAAGACCCTTTATCTCTTCAGGATCCTCTGACTAAGCAAGTGGAGGTCAGTTTACCAGTAATCTCAGCGTCCACTAGGTTTAATCAATCCCTTTGTCACAACTCTGCAGGTTTGCTCGGCGGGAGATTGTGGCGGCGGCGTGTGAATCCTCCAGTCGGGAATGTGTCAGACAAGTCAAAGACCTGTTCTCGAAGTGGAAGAACAACTCAGTTCAAAACCCGTAAGATTGACAGTAAATGAAATAAAGCCTGTGGATTTGCTTGTACAAAGTAATAGCGTGTTATGAATAGTCAACATAGGATTTCAGTTCCTGAAGTACGTGTCATTCAAGACAATGATGAATTCCCCGGAAATGCAGTTAGATCGTTATTTTGAACTTTGAAGTCAGACAAAAGACTCTGTTTTATTTCATTTCATCAATATGATAAATACTGAGTCAAAAAGAAACTTCACAAAATGTAATTTGAAAAATAATGAATATTTTTTCTCTGATGATACATCTATGTATCCGAAATGGGATCCCTATCTTTCGACTCTAGAAAAACGTTAGCAAAACCCACTCAAACCGATCCATTCGTCGTGCAAATGACGTTAGTGCAAAAATCAGGTTTTGCACGTGCAGTCGATCACGTAATATTCGCATCGAAGTTTTCTTCATATGCACGTGTTTGCATTGGCCTCAAGAATTGAAAAAAACACTTTTAAATCACAGTTCTAACGGTACTTCAAATGCCACGATTGTCAAATGTGCAACTTGAACGTGCCGTTGGCATATTGCAAGTGGGAAGATCAGTTATTGACGTCGCAAGAGCAATGGGATGAAGCCGTCGTACTGTGTATGACTTGCGAGGTCGTCTACAACAAAATGGCACCACTTCTGATCGCCCAAGGTCGGGTCGTCCACTTGTGACGTCACGAGCAGAAGACCGTCAAATCTTCCTACGTCACCTACGTGACAAATTTCTGCCGGCTACACGAACCAGGGCTGAGATGTTTAGAGGTCGACTGTCCTCACAGACCATTCGAAATTGGTTGCGGGCTGCCAATCTCCATTCTCGACGTCCATATCGTGGGCCAATATTGACGCCGTTTCATCAACGTCTACGTCTGCTGTGGGCCCAACGTCACCTCCGATGGAACCAGAGAGACTGGAATCGAGTCGTCTTTAGCGATGAATCCAGGTTTACCCTCAGATTTGAGGACGGCAGGCATAGAGTCTGGAGACGACGTCGTGAAAGGTATGCCCAATGTTGTGTACAGGAAGTCGACAGATTCAGGGGCGGAAGTTGCATGGTGTGGGGTGCTTTCTGTGGGAACAACCGTTCCCGACTTCTGGTCATCCGTGGAAAACTCACAGCTGCTGCTTACCGCGACCAGGTGCTCACCTCTGAACTCGTTCCTTTCATGGCGGCTCATGGCCCAGGTCTACAGTTCCAGCATGATAACGCTCGGCCGCATCCCGCCATGTTGACACGAAATTTCCTTCAAAACGCTGGAATCAACGTCATGGACTGGCCATCGAGGTCCCCTGACTTTAATCCAATAGAGCACGTTTGAGATGCACTTGGGAGAAGGCTTCGTGTTCTTACGAACCAACCTTTCAATTTGCAGGAACTTGGCGCTGCCTTGCAAGAGCAATGGCGCAGAATCCCCAACCACGTCTTCACATGCGTCAGGCAGTCAATGAGGAGACGGTGTTTTGGCAGTGGTGGATAAGATTAGGGGCGGCCATACACGATATTAAACTGAGAAATTTCGCATTTTATTCTTGTGACTTGACATTCTGTATACCCATGTTTTGGAACGGCGGTGTAGCCTAATGGAACTGATTATGGCACTGTCAGTGTATCGAGTACAGTGTAAAGTGCCCTGAAGAGGAATGTGAAGTTTCTTTTGACTCAGTATATAAAACTCAAGATGGTCAAGGCCGTCCATTTGTTTGCAGCGAGGTGAAAATACAGACGGGTTTATGTATGGTGATGTTTCAGGCTGTACCCTGAGTTACGGAAGACCATCCTGTGTACGGGGTGGCCGAGGGGAGCCGGACGACTGGTTTGAGGTGTACTCCAGGTATAAGACAGAAACCGAGATTGCCATCAAAGGTGATCTGCAGTATGCGCTGACGTGTGCCTCTTCTGAGTGGATTTTACACACGTAAGTTTTATCCATGTCTATTGTCATCGTATTGCATACCCCAATAACGTAATAGATCCTTCACGCGGTCATCCAATATATACATATATAGCTTTAGGTTTTATATATATAGCATATATGTCCATAATGTATGTCCGCCTGACTTACATCACCATGACAGATAAATCGTCATGGTGTTAATGACTTACGGAACATATATCTATGGCGGGCACATCTCTGTAGACCACATCCGTGACGTACCTCTCCATGGCGTACATCTCTCTGTGACGTACATCTCTCTGTAAGGTACATATCTCTGTGACGTAAATCTCTATTTGAGGTACATCTCTCTGTGACGTACATCTCTCTGTGACGTGCATCTCTCTGTGAGGTGCATCTCTCTGTGGGGTGCATCTGTCAGTGACGTACATCTCTCTGTGACGTACATCTCTGCGACGTACATCTCTCTGTGACGTACATCTCTTTGTGAGGTGCATCTGTCTGTGACGTATACATCATCTCTGTGACGTACATCTCTGTGAGGTGCATCTCTCTGTGACGTACATCTCTCTGTGAGGTGCACCTGTCTGTGACGTACATCTCTCTCTGTGACATGCATCTCTCTGTGAGGTGCATCTGTCTGTGACGTACATCTCTCTGTGAGGTACATCTCTGTGAGGTGCATCTCTCTGTGACGTACACCTCTCTGTGACGTACATCTCTCTGTGACGTACATCTCTCTGTGACGTACATCTCTCTTTGACGTACATCTCTCTGTGACGTACATCTCTCTGTGACGTACATCTCTGTGACGTACAACTCTGTGAGGTGCATCTGTCTGTGACGTACATCATCTCTGTGACGTACATCTCTCTGTGAGGTACATCTCTTTGTGATGTGCATCTTTCTGTGAGGTACATCTGTCTGTGACGTACATCTCTCTGTGACGTACATCTCTCTTTGACGTACATCTGTCTGTGACGTACATCTCTCTGTGACGTACATCTCTCTTTGACGTACATCTGTCTGTGACGTACATCTCTCTGTGACGTACATCTCTCTGTGACGTACATCTCTCTTTGACGTACATCTCTCTATGACGTACATCAAGGTGGAGCACATCCCATGACGTACCCCTCCTTGATGTACATCTCTCTGTGACATGCATCTCTCTATGGGGGCGCATCTCTGTGGCGCACATACCATGACGTACATCTCTATGACGTATATTTCTCCATGACGTGCATTTCCATGACGTACAACTCCTTGACATACATCTCTGTACGACGTGCATTTCTCTATGGCGGGCACATACCTGTGGAGCACATCCTATGACTTACCTCTCCACGACGTACATCTCTCTATGGCGGGCACATATGCATCTCTGTGGCGCACATCTCATGACATGCATCTCTCTATGATGTGCATCTCTTTACGGCGAGCACATCTCTGTGGCACACATCCCATGACGTGCATCTCTCTGTGACGTACATCTCTCTTATATGTGCATCTCTCTATGGCGGGCACATCTCTGTGGAGCACATCCCATGACGTACGTCTCTTTATGACGTACATCTCTCTGTGACGTACATCTCTCTGTGACGTGCCTCTCTCTTTGACGTGCATCTCTCTATGGCGGGCACATCTCTGTGGAGCACATCCCATGACGTACGTCTCTTTTTGACGTACATCTCTCTGTGACGTACATCTCTCTGTGACGTACGTCTCTTTATGACGTACATCTCTCTGTGACGTACATCTCTCTGTGACGTGCATCTCTCTATGAAGTGCATCTCTCTATGGCGGGCGCATCTCTGTGGAGCACATCCCATGACGTACGTCTCTTTATGACGTACAATTCTCTGTGACGTGCATCTCTGTGACGTGCATCTCTATGAAATGCATCTCTATGACGGGCAAATCTCTGTGGAGCACATCCCATGACGTACCTCTCCATGACGTACATCTCTCTGTGACGTTCATCTCTGTAGGATGTACATATTTGTAGGATGTACATCTCTTTAACGTACATAAACATGACGTATATCAGCCTGACGTATATCTCCGTGACGTACACCTCACTTACGTACATCTCTGTATGACGTAAACCTCCATGACGTACATTTCTCTATGACGTACATCTCTGTAGCATGTACATCTCTCTATGACGTACATCACTGTAGGATGTACATCTCTCTATGGCGAGCATCTCTCATTGACGTACATCAGTATGACGTGACGTCGCCTGACGTACATGATTTATGTCATCAGGACATATCTATTTGATGTTGGCGCTTTTGTCTTCAGTCTTCTGAAACGCGCCATCACGCCTTCAGAGATCAGTCGTTCGGATTCAACACGGATCTTGTACTATGTATCGAACAGCGCCAGGGGACAGCCTTTAGTGTGGAACTTCATCAAGGCGAACTGGCCACTTCTCCGTGATGAGTAAGAATAGTAACATATTACATATAAGAATAGAACTACAGCACTACCAGTATATCAAATTAAAGCAGTATACTTTGCGAGTTGTGAGCGGGCTGGGATTAAAGCAGAGGTAAGTAAGCAGTATAGTAGGTATATATCACTCCCCAGCTGAGCAAGTCTACTTTTGCGTGTCTATCTCAAGTGAAGTCCCTTTCGCAACAAACGGTAATATATGGACCACAGTTATATGATAACATTGTCTACACGATGGATTGGTTTCTTTGAAAAGAAATACGATTGTTCCAGGTTCAGCGCTACTTTCAACTACGTGGCTAAGATGATCACAGGCTCAACCAGAGGGTTCAATACCAAGCAGCAGCTACAGGAGGTTTGTTTGTTGGTTGGTTGGTTGGTTGGTTAGCTCTGTAATACAATACCAAGCAGCAGCTACAGGAGGTTTGTTGGTTGGTTGGTTGGTTGGTTGGTTGGTTAGCTCTGTAATACAATACCAAGCAGCAGCAACAGGAGGTTTGTTGGTTGGGTGGATTTGGTTGGTTGGTTAGCTCTGTAATACAATACCAAGCAGCAGCTACAGGAGGTTTGTTGGTTTGTTGGTTGGTTGGTTGGTTAGCTCTGTAATACAATACCAAGCAGCAGCTACAGGAGGTTTGTTGCTTGGTTTGGTTGGTTGGTTGGTTGGTTGGTTGGTTTGCTCTGTAATACAATACCAAGCAGCAGCAACAGGAGGAGGTTTGTTGGTTGGTTGGTTAGCTCTGTAATACAATACCAAGCAGCAGCTACAGGAGGTTTGTTGCTTGGTTGGTTAGCTCTGTAATACAATACCAAGCAGCAGCTACAGGAGGTTTGTTGGTTGGTTGGTTAGCTCTGTAATACAATACCAAGCAGCAGCTACAGGAGGTTTGTTGGTTGGTTGGTTAGCTCTGTAATACAATACCAAGCAGCAGCTACAGGAGGTTTGTTGGTTGGTTGGTTAGCTCTGTAATACAATACCAAGCAGCAGCTACAGGAGGTTTTGTTGGTTGGTTGGTTTTGTTTGCTCTGTAATACAATACCATGCAGCAGCTACAGGAGGTTTGTTGGTTGGTTGGTTTGCTCTGTAATACAATACCAAGCAGCAGCTAAGCAGGAGGTTTGTTGGTTGGTTGGTTAGCTCTGTAATACAATACCAAGCAGCAGCTACAGGAGGTTTGGTGGTTGGTTGGTTTGCTCTGTAATACTATAGGCTTCACAGGAGGTTTGTTGGTTGGTTGGTTAGCTCTGTAATACAATACCAAGCACCAGCTACAGGAGGATTGTTGGTTGGTTGGTTGGTTAGCTCTGTAATACAATACCAAGCAGCAGCTACAGGAGGTTTGTTGGTTGGTTGGTTAGCTCTGTAATACAATACGCAAGCAGCAGCTACAGGAGGTTTGGTGGTTGGTTGGTTTGCTCTGTAATACAATACCAAGCAGCAGCTACACAGGAGGTTTGTTGGTTGGTTGGTTAGCTCTGTAATACAATACCAAGCAGCAGCTACAGGGAGGTTTGTTGGTTAGTGGTTGGTTAGCTCTTGCAATACAATACCAAAGCAGCTTCCTGAGGTTTTGTTGGTTGGTTGGTTAGCTCTGTAATACAATACCAAGCACCAGCTACGGAGGCTTTGTTGGTTGGTTGGTTAGTTCTGTAATACAATGCCAAGCAGCGTTACAGGAGGGTTTGTTTGTTGGTTGGATTAGCTCAAATAATACAATACCGGCTGCTGCATACAATACCAAAGCGGTGTTACAGGAGGTTTGTTGGTTGGTTGGTTGAAAGGCTCTGTAATACAATTCGCACGCAATACCGCAGCTTATAGGATGTTTGTTGGTTGGTTAGTTAGCTCTGTAATACAATACCAGCAGCAGCAGCTACAGGGAGGTTTGTTGGTTGGTTGGTTGAAGTTGCCATTGGTTGGTTGGCTCTGTAGTACAATACCAAGCAGCAGCAGGAGGTTTGTTGGTTGGTTGGTTGGTTGGTTTGTTAGCTCTGTAATACAATACCAAGCAGCAGCTGAGGAGGTTTGCATTGGTTTGTTGATTTGGTTGGATTTGGTTAGCTCTGTAATACAATACCAAACGCTAGCTGGGAGGTTTGTTGCTTGGTTGGTTGGTTGGTTGATTGAGTTGGTTTTGCTCTGTATTACAATACCAAAGAGCAGCAGCAACAGGAGAATTTTGTTGATTTGGTTGGTTAGCTCTATGATACAATACCAAGCAGCAGCTACAGGAGGTTGTTGCTTGGTTGAACTGGCTGATAGTACAATACACCAAGCAGCAGCTGGGGTTTGTTGTACGGTTGGTTGGTTAGCTCTGTAATACAATACCAAGCAGCAGCTACCAGGAGGTTGTTGGTTGGATTTAAAGTTAGCTCACAGCAATGCAATACCAGCAGCAGCTACAGGGAGGAGGTTGGTTGGTTGGCATGGTTAGCTCTGTAATACAATACCAAGCAGCAGCTTCAGGAGGTTTGTTGGTTGGTTGGGTTAGCTCTGTAATACAATACCAAGCGAAGCAGCTACAGGAGGCTTGGTTGTTGGTTAGCGGATTTAAGTTTGGTTGGTTTTGCTCTGTAATACAATACCAAGCAGCAGCTACAGGAGGTTTGTTGGATTGGGTTGGTTAGCTCTGTAATACAATACCAAGCAGCGCTTAGCTTACAAGGAGGTTTGGTGGTTGGTTGGTTTTGCTCTGTAATACAATACCAAGCAGCAGCTACAGGAGGTTTGTTGGTTGGTTGGTTAGCTCTGTAATACAATACCAAGCAGCAGCTACAGGAGGTTGTTGGTTGGTTGGTTAGCTCTGTAATACAATACCAAGCAGCAGCTACAGGTTTGTTGGTTGGTTGGTTAGCTCTGTAATACAATACCAAGCACCAGCTACAGGAGGTTTATTTGTTGGTTGGTTGGTTAGCTCTGTAATACAATACCAAGCAACAGCTACAGGAGGTTTGTTGGTTGGTTGGTTAGCTCTGTAATACAATACCAAGCAGCAGCTACAGGAGGTTTGTTGGTTGGTTGTTTAGCTCTGTAATACAATACCAAGCAGCAGCTACAGGGATGTTTGTTGGCTGGTTGGTTAGCTCTGTAATACAATACCAAGCAGCAGCTACAGGAGGTTTGTTGGTTGGTTGGTTAGCTCTGTAATACAATACCAAGCAGCAGCTACAGGAGGTTTGTTGGTTGGTTGGTTAGCTCTGTAATACAATACCAAGCACCAGCTACAGGAGGTTTGTTGGTTGGTTTGTTTGGTTGGTTGGTTAGCTCTGTAATACAATACCAAGCAGCAGCAGGTTTGCTACAGGAGGTTTGTTGGTTGGTTGGTTAGCTCTGTAATACAATACCAAGCAGCAGCTACAGGAGGTTTGTTGGTTGGTTGGTTAGCTCTGTAATACACCAAGCAGCAGCTACAGGAGGTTTTGTTGGTTGGTTGGTTAGCTCTGTAATACAATACCAAGCAACAGCTACAGGAGGTTTGTTGGTTGGTTGGTTAGCTCTGTAATACAATACCAAGCAGCAGCTACAGGAGGTTTGTTGGTTGGTTGGTTAGCTCTGTAATACAATACCAAGCAACAGCTACAGGAGGTTTGTTGGTTGGTTGGTTGGTTAGCTCTGTAATACAATACCAAGCAACAGCTACAGGAGGTTTGTTGGTTGGTTGGTTAGCTCTGTAATACAATACCAAGCAGCAGCTACAGGAGGTTTGTTGGTTGGTTGGTTAGCTCTGTAATACAATACCAAGCAGCAGCTACAGGAGGTTTGTTGGTTGGTTGGTTAGCTCTCTGTAATACAATACCAAACGGCAGCTACAGGAGGTTTGTTGGTTGGTTGGTTAGCTCTGTAATACAATACCAAGCAGCAGCTACAGGAGGTTTGTTGGTTGGTTGGTTAGCTCTGTAATACAATACCAAGCAGCAGCTACAGGAGGTTTGTTGGTTGGTTGGTTAGCTCTGTAATACAATACCAAGCACCAGCTACAGGAGGTTTGTTGGTTGGTTGGTTAGCTCTGTAATACAATACCAAGCAGCAGCTACAGGAGGTTTGTTGGTTGGTTGGTTGGTTGGTTAGCTCTGTAATACAATACCAAGCAGCAGCTACAGGAGGTTTGTTGGTTGGTTGGTTAGCTCTGTAATACAATACCAAGCAACAGCTACAGGAGGTTTGTTGGTTGGTTGGTTGGTTAGCTCTGTAATACAATACCAAGCAGCAGCTACAGGAGGTTTGTTGGTTGGTTGGTTAGCTCTGTAATACAATACCAAGCAGCAGCTACAGGAGGTTTGTTGGTTGGTTGGTTGGTTGGTTAGCTCTGTAATACAATACCAAGCAGCAGCTACAGGAGGTTTGTTGGTTGGTTGATTAGCTCTGTAATACAATACCAAGCAGCAGCTACAGGAGGTTTGTTGGTTGGTTGGTTAGCTCTGTAATACAATACCAAGCAGCAGCTACAGGAGGTTTGTTGGTTGGTTGGTTAGCTCTGTAATACAATACCAAGCAGCAGCTACAGGAGGTTTGTTGGTTGGTTGGTTAGCTCTGTAATACAATACCAAGCAGCAGCTACAGGAGGTTGGTTGGTTGGTTGGTTTGCTCTGTAATACAATACCAAGCAGCAGCTACAGGAGGTTTGTTGGTTGGTTGGTTGGTTGGTTGGTTGGTTGGCTAGCTCTGTAATACAATACCAAGCAGCAGCTACAGGAGGTTGGTTGGTTGGTTGGTTGGTTAGCTCTGTAATACAATACCAAGCACCAGCTACAGGAGGTTTGTTGGTTGGTTGGTTAGCTCTGTAATACAATACCAAGCAACAGCTACAGGAGGTTGGTTGGTTGGTTGGTTGGTTAGCTCTGTAATACAATACCAAGCAGCAGCTACAGGAGGTTGGTTGGTTGGTTGGTTGGTTAGCTCTGTAATACAATACCAAGCACCAGCTACAGGAGGTTTGTTGGTTGGTTGGTTAGCTCTGTAATACAATACCAAGCAGCAGCTACAGGAGGTTTGTTTGTTTGTGGTTGGTTGGTTGGTTGGTTGGTTGGTTGGTTGGTTGGTTAGCTCTGTAATACAATGCTCCACTGTGCAACTCCTGTATACCACCTGGAAACCAGATCAGACAATCACGTGATTAATATCATGACCAATGATCTGTGACTTGGGGGTGTCGCCATCCTGTGCAGCATGTCACTGCACAAAACCACTCCATCAACTACGACGTCTCCCACCCCCTGCATACAACGACGTGGACATGTTTTATTGTACAGGAAGGGGGTGGGGTGTAACCTTGACGATCATGTAATGTTCGCTGGCTGCGCCAGAGTTCAGTGCTCCACATGGGTACATGTTTTCCAAAACACTGGCGTCCCCTGCCATGGTACTGGGATATAAGTGGAGCAACTCTATGGCTTCATCTTGAATGAAGATGACAACATGGCTACGGGAGTGATCCTCTTTATTCGACGACTTGGTATTATTGCATTATTTCTTATCACACCTTAAAACACAAAATGACATTGAATAAGATAATAAATATAACCAGAGCATGATAATTCATTTGGCTTGCAAGCAAAAGAATGGATAACACATACATCATATGCGTCATTAAATGAAGACGGTAAATATAGAATCATTACATGGTGTTATAATACTGGCCTTGCGACACAGTCAAGCATCTGACTACACAATGCTGACAAGGAAGACACAACCTGAATAACAGTTGTCCAGATAGTAGTAGTAGATATAGGATACATGAAATATACACACACCTTACTGCGTGTAACACACACCTACTGCGTGTAACACGTCGTCAATAGATAATTGTATAAATTTACATGATGATAATATGCCAACATACCAGGAAGTATGGCCTCTAGATGTAGGTCACATTATGAACGGCTACATGGAGAAGGATACAGTGACTTGACTCCAACAGTACCTTGGCAGTAGTGAAGTAATTGAGTGAGTGAGTGAGTGAGTGAGTTTAGTTTTACGCCGCACAGTGAAGTAATTGAACATATTAAACTTGCTGCAGTCTGTTGGTGACTTGTCTGTCCGGTGATTGAGGTGTGCGGGTTAAAAAATATGCAATAACAATGAGCTCAGCCACTAAAACAGAATATTTGCCCTGGTTTAAACGAAAGGAACTGATAGGCTTGTGACTGACCCAAGCATTACCAAATTAAGATATTTAAGGTGTACTATCACCTCTTAATTAAAATCCTTCACACCCATATTGCAACTAATATCAAATGCTGATATTAATACTCATGACTAATAACCAATACTTATCCCAATACTAATGCTAATACTAATACCAGTACCAATACTATATACACTATATACAAATAACTGGTACTAATACTATAGCAGGGTCAATGTGAGGCAAAGATTACCAGCACTCTGCTGGGGTGTGAGGTTGTTTATTTCTGTAGGATGAGATGTTGATAAACCGACACCCTGTAACAATAAATATAATAATATACTATACATCGCACACAATTCATACAGGATTAATATAATTCCATACAAGTGTTAATACATATAGATAATTACCAATAATATTCTAGTTAACTCAAAGCATAAATAACATTACTTCATTAATGTATAATGTAATGATAATACATACAATGTAATACACACAAGATAGGCAATAATACAACATTACACATTAGTCGTAATGGTCACATACACATGATCTATCACCACGCATTACGTCTTGGTACTATATACAATACATGGATATAAAATAGACATATACACATACACTGTGGGTGGTACAAGGGTGCAATACAAACAGGCACAACACCAGTCTTATGGACGGATATTTATCCGCTGTAAATAATATTAAATGATAAATAATATACAATTTAATGTGGAGAAGATTTCATTCATGAACATAAAATTACTTCCACACATTGATAATTACACTTATAGTTATCACAGTTAAAATATAGCAACTTGTATTAAAAACATTCTCTCATCTCACACAGTCAGTGAAAGGGATTATATATGTAGTAAAGAAAAGAATATATTAGTGATACTTATTGATGTTTATTGCTTAGGATTGGAAAGCTAAAATAATTGCATATAGCACACTTACATGCTATATAATGCCCATTTATATGATAGTAAATGAATATACGTTTGTTATAAATATGCTGCAAGAATTAAATGCAATATTACTTTAATTAAACAAATACTAACCCTATGTTACACTGGGTGTCTGTCCATGCTGTCTTTACGTGGCAAAGAGTCAGTTCAGAATGAGTCAAATTGGGCATGGAAGTAGTGAGACCAATCAGCTGAGAAGCGTCATGGCTTGGGCAATTAGTCTGAGTGGCCAAGCTCTAAAGCTGAACCCTTAAAGTGCCTAATAATAACATAGGTAAAAGGAGAGAATGATAAGATTAAAATAATACATTTACGATAAAAACATCTGCCACAATACTCACACACAAATACTAATACTACTATTAATACTAATACTAATTACAGTGTTGTATAGTGTTTGATTTATTTGACAGTAATACAAATATATGTGACTGCCACATGGAGACTGCGGCAAACCATAGTGACACATTCTAACCTGGAACACCCTTGGAGCATATAACACAGTATACACACCACATGATAAGTCCAAAACTACCACCTCAAACAGATCGATGCTGATATATATATTCTTCTCGTCAAAGTACAACTCCCATCATGCACAGATATATGTTGATGTTTATATTCCTCTCGTCAAGTACAACTCCCATCATACACAGATATATGTTGATGTTTATATTCCTCTAGTCCATCACAACTCCCACCATACACAGATGTATATTGATGTTTATATTCCTCTAGTCCTTCACAAGATGTATATTGATGTTTTAACTCCCAGTACACATACACAGATATATGTTGATGTTTGTACAGATATATGTTGATGTTTATGTTCACCTCTCGTCAAATTACAACTCCCACCATACACAGATATATATTGATGTTTATATTCATCTAGTCCATCCCACAACTCCCACCACACACAGATATATGTTGATGTTTATATTCATCTAGTCAAATCATCCACCAACACAGATATATGTTGACAACTCCACCACACACAGATATATGTTGATGTTTATATTCCTCTAGTCCATCACAACTCCCACAACTCCCATCATACTCAGATGTATATTGATGTTTATATTCCTCTAGTCCATCACAACTCCCACCACACACAGATATATGTTGATGTTTATATTCATCTAGTCCATCACAACTCCACCACACACAGATATATGTTGATGTTTATATTCCTCTAGTCAATCACAACTCCCACCACACACAGATATATGTTGATGTTTATATTCCTCTCGTCAAGTACAACTCCCACCACACACAGATATATGTTGATGTTTATATTTCTCCTAGTCCGTCACAACTCCCACCACACACAGATATATGTTGATGTTTATATTTCTCTAGTCCATCACAACTCCCACCACACAAAGATATATGTTGATGTTTATCTTCCTCTAGTCCATCAACTCCCACCACACACTCCACCACCACACAAGATATATGTTGATGTTTATATTCCTCTCGTCAAATTACAACTCCCACCACACAAAGATATATGTTGACGTTTACATTCCACTAGTCCGTCACAACTTCCACCACACACAATAATATATGTTGATGTTTATATTCCTCTCGTCAAAGTACAACTCCCACCACACAAAGATATATGTTGATGTTTATATTCCTCTAGTCCATCACAACTCCCACCACACAAAGATATATGTTGATGTTTATATTCCTCTAGTCCGTCACAACTCCCACCACACATAGATATATGTTGATGTTTACATTCCACTAGTCCGTCACAACTTCCACCACACACAGATATATGTTGATGTTTATATTCCTCTAGTCCATCACAACTCCACCACACAAAGATATATGTTGACGTTTACATTCCACTAGTCCGTCACAGCTCCCACCACACACAGATATATGTTGATGTTTATATTCCTCTAGTCCATCACAACTCCCACCACACGAGAAGATATATGTTGACGTTTACATTCCACTAGTCCGTCACAACTTCCACCACACACAAATATATGTTGATGTTTATATTCCTCTCGTCAAGTACAACTACCACCACACACAGATATATATTGATGTTTATATTCCTCTAGTCCATCACAACTCCCACCACACACAGATATATGTTGATGTTTATATTCCACTAGTCCGTCACAACTCCCACCACACACAAATATATGTTGATGTTTATATTCCTCTCGTCAAGTACAACTCCCACCACACAAAGATATATGTTGATGTGTTTTATATTCCTCTAGTCCATCACAACTCCCACCACACAAAGATATATGTTGATGTTTATATTCCTCTAGTCCGTCACAACTCCACCACACATAGATATATATATGTTGATGTTTACATTCCACTAGTCCGTCACAACTTCCACCACACACAGATATATGTTGATGTTTATATTCCTCTAGTCCATCACAACTCCACCACACAAAGATATATGTTGACGTTTACATTCCACTAGTCCGTCACAACTCCCACCACACACAGATATATGTTGATGTTTATATTCCTCTCTAGTCATCACAACTCCCACCACACGAAGATATATGTTGACGTTTACATTCCACTAGTCCGTCACAACTTCCACCACACACAAATATATGTTGATGTTTATATTCCTCTCGTCAAGTACAACTACCACCACACACAGATATATATTGATGTTTATATTCCTCTAGTCCATCACAACTAGATATATAACTCCCACCACACACAGATATATGTTGATGTTTATATTCCACTAGTCCGTCACAACTCCCACCTTGCATGGCAATCTGTTAATGTTTTATCCTTTTTTATCTTGCCATCCATGTTCTGTTGATGCAGATTGAGGACTTCATGAGATCAACTCCCAATCTAGGAATTGGTGAACGTGCTTTCCACCAAGCCGTAGAACAAACCAAGTCTAACATTAAGTGGATGAGCCACATCTACCCAAGTGTTAAACAATGGCTGGACGGGATGTCTTTTTCTATTTGAAGGTAGTTTCCTTATTCAGTACCAGTGCTCTGTCGCCTCCGTGACCTCTCTCGAATCACAAGTGAACCGACGCATTGAAGTAAAATATACTCACTCACTCAGTCCCTACACATCAGAGTTAACCAGTTACAGGTGTTTGTCATCGTAATTGTCCCTTTGTCATCCTGGCCGTTTTCTACTTTTCAGATTGGGAAGGAGAGCGCCACTGTAACAGACACAGAATATACGGAATATACATATTTCAGACATTGAGTATACGGAATATATAACTTTCAGAAATTGAGTATATAGACTATACATATTTCAGACACTGAGCATAATCAAAATGTTTCAGATAATGAGTACATAGAACCTATATATTTCAGACATTTAATTCAAGATTCCCTGTCAGTCCGCCGATCTGTAACATATATCGTTTTGAATCACTACCAAAATAAATATTGCCTTTCAAATTTGACTTAAAAAAAAACGACAGACACGATAGTAGCAATACAAGACTGTGACACGATACAAGCAGTACAAGACTATGACACGTTAGAGGTAATACAAGACATCGACACGATAGAGACAATACAAGACATCGACACCATAGAAGCAATAATACACTATGACACGATAGTAGCAAATTATACAAGACTATGACACGATACAAGCAGGAAAAGACTATGACGCGATAGAGGCAATACAAGACATCGACACGATGGAAGCAGTACAAGACTATGACACGATAGTAGCAATACAAGACTGTGACACGATAGAAGCAGTACAAGACTATGACTCGATAGAGGTAATACAAGACATCGACACCATAGAAGCAATACAAGACATCGACACGATAGAAGCAATAATACACTATGACACGATAGTAGCAATACAAGACTATGACACGATAGAAGCAGTACAAGACTATGACACGATAGAAGCAATACAAGACTATGACACGATAGAAGCAGTACAGGACTATGGCACGATGGAAGCAGTACAAGACTATGACACGATAGAAGCAGGAAAAGACTATGACACGATAGGAAGTGTTTACAACTAGGCATGATCAATAAGCTGGACCAATGAACAGTAACTCTGGAGAGTCACCAGAAAGTTGTACACATGCGTATTTGTGCCATGGGGTAGTTGTTGACATCGGTTAGGACCCCCACGATACCAGCGGTGACGCCGTGGAGTGTTCTGCCGCTCATGCTGCAGCACCCCGATGATGTCGCTATTCCACTGCATTTCATAGATGTTGGAAATAGTTGGGAACAAACCCGGTATGTGTACGGGGCGTATGCAATCTACTCTAGTCATAGACGTTGGAAAAATACCAATTCTTAGTGAGTATCTGAGTGTGTAACTATCTCCTCCTTGTCTGTTACAATACGGTTACATATGACTGGAGCGTAGCCAAATGTGATTTATAGTGATGAGATGAAATAGAATTCTCAGTATCTGAGTGTGTACCTATCTGCCGTTGATCTGTTGCAATATGAGTGCATGTGAGTAAGTGATTAGATCAAATATAATTCTTAGTATCTGAGTGTGTACCTATCTGCCGTTGATCTGTTGCAATATGAGTGCATGTGAGTAAGTGATTAGATCAAATATAATACTTAGTATCTGAGTGTGTACCTATCTGCCCTTGATCTGTTGCAATATGGGTGCATGTGAGTAAGTGTTTAGATCAAATATAATTCTTAGTATCTGAGTGTGTACCTATCTGCCGTTGATCTGTTGCAGTATGGGTGCATGTGAGTAAGTGATTAGATGAAATATAATTCTTAGTATCTGAGTGTGTACCTATCTGCCCTTGATCTGTTGCAATATAGGTGCATGTGAGTAAGTGATTAGATGAAATATAATTCTTAGTATCTGAGTGTGTACCTATCTGCCGTTGATCTGTTGCAATATGGGTGCATGTGAGTAAGTGTTTAGATCAAATATAATACTTAGTATCTGAGTGTGTACCTATCTGCCGTTGATCTGTTGCAATATGGGTGCATGTGAGTAAGTGATTAGATCAAATATAATTCTTAGTATCTGAGTGTGTACCTATCTGCCGTTGATCTGTTGCAATATAGGTGCATGTGAGTAAGTGATTAGATGAAATATAATTCTTAGTATCTGAGTGTGTACCTATCTGCCCTTGATCTGTTGCAATATGGGTGCATGTGAGTAAGTGTTTAGATCAAATATAATTCTCAGTATCTGAGTGTGTACCTATCTGCCGTTGATCTGTTGCAATATGGGTGCATGTGAGTAAGTGTTTAGATCAAATATAATACTGAGTATCTGAGTGTGTACCTATCTGCCGTTGATCTGTTGCAGTATGGGTGCATGTGAGTAAGTGATTAGATCAAATATAATTCTTAGTACCTGAGTGTGTACCTATCTGCCGTTGATCTGTTGCAATATAGGTGCATGTGAGTAAGTGATTAGATGAAATATAATTCTTAGTATCTGAGTGTGTACCTATCTGCCCTTGATCTGTTGCAATATGGGTGCATGTGAGTAAGTGATTAGATCAAATATAATTCTTAGCATCTGAGTGTGCACCTATCTGCCGTTGATCTGTTGCAATATGAGTGCATGTGAGTAAGTGATTAGATCAAATATAATTCTTAGTATCTGAGTGCGTACCTATCTGCCGTTGATCTGTTGCAGTATGGGTGCATGTGAGTAAGTGATTAGATCAAATATAATTCTTAGTATCTGAGTGTGTACCTATCTGCCGTTGATCTGTTGCAATATGGGTGCATGTGAGTAAGTGATTAGATCAAATATAATTCTTAGTATCTGAGTGCGTACCTATCTGCCGTTGATTTGTTGCAGTATAGGTGCATGTGAGTAAGTGATTAGATGAAATATAATTCTTAGTATCTGAGTGTGTACCTATCTGCCGTTGATCTGTTGCAGTATGGGTGCATGTGAGTAAGTGATTAGATCAAACATAATTCTTAGTATCTGAGTGTGTACCTATCTGCCGTTGATCTGTTGCAATATGGGTGCATGTGAGTAAGTGATTAGATCAAATATAATTCTCAGTATCTGAGTGCGTACCTATCTGCCCTTGATCTGTTGCAGTATAGGTGCATGTGAGTAAGTGATTAGATGAAATATAATTCTTAGTATCTGAGTGTGTACCTATCTGCCTTTGATCTGTTGCAGTATAGGTGCATGTGAGTAAGTGATTAGATCAAATATAATTCTTAGTATCTGAGTGCGTACCTATCTGCCGTTGATCTGTTGCAGTATAGGTGCATGTGAGTAAGTGATTAGATCAAATATAATTCTTAGTATCTGAGTGCGTACCTATCTGCCCTTGATCTGTTGCAGTATAGGTGCATGTGAGTAAGTGATTAGATCAAATATAATTCTTAGTATCTGAGTGCGTACCTATCTGCCGTGGATCTGTTGCAATATGGGTGCATGTGAGTAAGTGATTAGATGAAATGTTAATCTTAGTTTCTGACAATAGTATTTCTTGGGACATTTCTATTGATGCTTATTAAACTACTATTACTCAAGTTGGTTTTGTGTTGTGACTGCTCAGTACCAGTGTATGTCGGCGGCTGATAACAGGAAACTCTCTCTTCATTAATACACAATTACAGACAGTATCTCACTGTTTATGAGGTAGAGTCAGTCGTTATAGAAATTATCTCACTGTTCATACAGTAGAGCCAGTCACTGCAGACAACATCTCACTGTTCATACAGTAGAGCCAGTCTTTACAGACAATATCTCCCTGTTCATACAGTAGAGTCAGTCATTACAGACAATATCTCCCTGTTCATACAGCAGAGTCAGTCATTATAGACATGATCTCACTGTTCATACAGTAGAGCCAGCCATTATAGACAATATCTCCCTGTTCATACAGTAGAGACAGTCAGTACAGACAATATCTCACTGTTCATACAGTAGAGACAGTCAGTACAGACAATATCTCACTGTTCATACAGTAGAGCCAGTCATTATAGACATTATCCCACTGTTCATACAGTAGAGCCAGTCATTATAGACATCATCTCACTGTTCATGCAGTAGAGTCAGTCATTATAGACATTATCTCACTGTTCATGCAGTACAGCCAGTCATTATAAACATTATATCACTGTTCATAGGGTAGAGCCAGTCATTACAAACAATATCTCCCTGTTCATACAGTAGAGTCAGTCATTATAGACATTATCTCACTGTTCATACAGTAGAGACAGTCATTATAGACATTATCTCACTGTTCATACAGTAGAGCCAGTCATTATAGACATTATCTCACTGTTCATGCAGTACAGCCAGTCATTATAGACATTATATCACTGTTGATAGAGTAGAGCCAGTCATTACAAACAATATCTCCCTGTTCATACAGTAGAGTCAGTCATTATAAACATTATATCACTGTTCATACAGTAGAGCCAGTCATTATAGACATTATCTCACTGTTCATACAGTAGAGCCAGTCAATATAGACATCATCTCACTGTTCATGCAGTAGAGTCAGTCATTATAGACATTATATCACTGTTCATACAGTAGAGTCAGTCATTATAGACAATATCTCACTGTTCATGCAGTAGAGCCAGTCATTATAGACATTATCTCACTGTTCATACAGTAGAGACAGTCATTATAGACATTATCTCACTGTTCATGCAGTAGAGCCAGTCATTATAGACAATATCTCACTCTTCATACAGTAGAGTCAGTCATTATAGACAATATATCACTGCACACAGTAGAGTCAGTCATTATAGACATTATCTCACTGTTCATGCAGTACAACCAGTCATTATAGACATTATATCACTGTTCATACAGTAGAGTCAGTCCTTATAGACAGTATCTTACTGTTCATACAGTAGAGCCAGTCATTATAGACAGTATCTTACTGTTCATACAGTGGAGCCAGTCATTACAGACATTATCTCACTGTTCATGCAGTAGAGCCAGTCATTACAGACAATATCTCACTCTTCATAGAGTAGAGTCAGTCATTATAGACAATATATCACTGCACACAGTAGAGTCAGTCATTATAGACATTATCTCACTGTTCATGCAATATAAACCTTACATCACTGCCAGTGTCTTACATGTTTCCATCTGGTACCGAGTGTCCCTTTGGTTGGCTTGTCTCCCACATCAAGGTTTGCTCATTTATATGCAGGTAAAGGTTCTTGTTTATGATTGTATTGTTGTTTTAATTAATTCCTCCTCTACAAGGTGCGCTGTGTGACAGCGTCATTGAGACACGTATCTGACGCTTGTTTCATAACAAGAGGAGAACACACATATTGGGTGTGGGCTTTTTCCCAGAAACAGGATTTGTCATGTACCCTTGTGTAGAACTAGTATTAACTCTTATAATTTTAACAAGGGTTACTTCTTGTAATGGTCACCTCTCTGTAAGGGTTACTACTCTGTGAGGGTTACGTCGTGGGGTGGTCAATTCTTGTATAGGTTACTTGTTGTAATGGTCACCCCTCTGTAAGGGTTTCTACTCTGTGAGGGTTACGTCGTGGGGTGGTCAATTCTTGTATAGGTTACTTCTTGCAATGGTCACCTCTCTGTAAGGATTACTTCTCTGTAAGGGTTACCTAGATTGATGGTCACTTCGTGTAAAGGTTACTTCTTGTAATGGTCGCCTCTCTTGTAAGGGTTACATCGGTTGATGGTCACTTCGTGTAATGGTCACTTCTTGTAAAGGTCACTTCTTCTAAGGGCTATTTCTTGTAAGAGTTACGCCATGGAATGGTCAATTCTTGTAAAGGTTACTTTGTGTGATGGTCACTTCTTGTAATGGTCACTTCTCTTTGATTGGTACTTCGTGTAAAGATTACTTTAATGTAAGAGTCACTTCCTGTGAAGGGTTATGTCGTGCAATGGTCATTTCTTGTAATGGTCACTTCTCTTTGATTGTTACTTTGTGTAAGAGTTACTTCTCTGTAAAATCAGATAGGTATTTCCTGGTAAACAAACAAACACAGACAAGAACATATTTACATTATTATTTAAAGGTAACATCACTGTAGATTTCAATCACTCTTGAAATAGATTACTTGATGCATCCATGAATCTAAGGAAGAATTTCATATTGTGTCTTTATTGTCGTAGCTGAAATGACTCAGTGGAAGCATATCCTAGAAACATTTGAGTCATTTTCTCCACCCCATATGCATCTGGGTGTACATCATTCAAGTGTAGAGCGATGCTCATATCCCAGTAGTTGAGGTACGCCACCTTGTCGTACAGACCGCTGAACTCATCCTTTATGATATCCGCATATGTCGGACCCCAGTATCCGCCTATGAACCGGTTCTTGAGACCAAACGAATGTGGTCCTTTGATGGCTACCACTACATCCGGGGCCCGCTGAAGCAAGTGTGTTACTGACCGCACAATAAGGCGGAGGTTGTTTCGGACTACACCGGGGTGATGGTAGTGGAAATGGGCATACAGATGGATGAGGACGATGTCACGTGACCCAGCTGGTACTTCATCAAGAGCGACATGGACAGGTCTCGAAACGCCACGCCCAGATTCAAAGAAATACAACGGTAGTCCATGAGGACTCCACGACATCTGGAAGTTACTGTCTTCTCTTTCTGCCCCCGTGTACCGGTGCCATTTTTTACCTACCCAGTTCATGGTCATGAACGTCATGTTCAGTCTCGCGTGAATGTACGAGAACATCTGCCTGACTGTTGAGTCTCCAAACATTAGCAGTCGTCTGTTTGAGAGGCAGTGTTTGAGGGCAGTGTCGTCTGTGGGGTACGTACACAGCGCGGGCTGCCACTGTCGGTTGTGAAAGAATCCAATAGGAGATAGCGCGGACCAGGAGAAGAGGAAGTCTCGTCTGCTGCACCACGTGCCTGCTCGCACCGTCTCGCCTCGCTCTGCGGAAACACATGGACGGTGAGGAGGGGGTCAACTGATGGGGTCAGCATCGATCACTAAGTTGTCATTGCTTCACAGGTACGCATGCCTAGTCCCATCATGATAATCACCGGACCATTTGGTCCAAACGGTTTTATATGGACCGACATAATATTGTTGGAATCTGGCTTTCTATGGCGTTAAACGGGCATGAATGAACAACATTTTGCTTTTGATTAAGCTAGACCATTAAGGAACTTTTGGGTCTTGAAAATATATGGTATTTTCCTTGATTCTTACACAAGATACAAGATACCTTTATTGAGGAATATTTGCCACAGAATCTTAGGTTTGGTCACTTCCTGGGATAGCAACATACCTGATCTCACTGTGAGGTGCATCTTTGTTTTAAACGTGCGTTTGACCTTTCCCCTGAAATGTAACAAAACAAGTTACTCGTACAGAATTTGATTAGCACACAATAGCTTAACATTGAAATTGATACTTCTCAGTTTGTCTGTTTGCAGAAGTTGAAAAGCTTTTACGGTAAGACATTTCAAGATCGTTTCAAGTATTATTGTTCGAATACGTTTCAAGAACATTTCAAAACGTCTCAGGAACAATTCATGAACATTTGTTAGGAATGATTCAATATCATTGCTCTAACTTTTCAAGAACTCTTCAAGAACATTTCAAAACCGTTTCAAGAACATTTCAAGAACGTTTCAAGACCTTTTCATGACTCAGGGAAGTACTGAAGCAAGTAAGACTTGACATTGTTTACACAGAGCAGTTCATGTGCACCAAACTTTTGTACAGCACCATGATAAACAACCTTCAGCATATTTTCATGCATGCAAAACTTATGCATGCAACAAACATCCTGCAAACCATCTAACAGAAGAACCCAACTTTTAACATTTTGGCAAATCCAACCAAAAAATAACAAAATCTATACCCCTATGCTGGGATATTGGGAGAACATTACAACCGGTAGTGAAGTGTGGCAACAACTGCACGTCTCCGTGGCTGTGTGTGGGGGAGGAAGGGGCTGGCCCAGGGGACACTCATGAGTGTTAGGCTGGTGGAGGTGAGCACAGGATACAGTCACCCACACGCCGTCCAAACTGAACGCATCATCATGGAAGACAAAACGTCTACCCCGTCTAAACTGTACACATCATCATGGAGGACAAAACGTTTACCCCGTCAAAACTGAACACATCATCATGGAGGACAAAACGTCTACCCCGTCTAAACTGAACACATCATCATGGAGGATAAAACGTCTACCCCGTCTAAACTGAACATATCGTAATGGAAGACAAAACGTCTACCCCGTCAAAACTGAACACATCATCATGGGAGACAAAACGTCTACCCCGTCTAAACTGAACACATCATCACGGAGGACAAAACGTCTACCCCGTCTAAACTGAACACATCATCATGGAGAATAAAACGTCTACCCCGTCTAAACTGAACACATCATCATGGAAGACAAAGTGTCTATCCCGTCTAACTGAACACATCGTCATGGAAGACTAAACGTCTACCCCGTCTAAACAACGCATCGTCTTGGAAGAGAAATCGTCTACCCCGTCTAAACTGAACACATCATCATGGAGGACAAAACGTCTACCCCGTCTAAACTGAACACAATCATCATGGAGAACAAAACGTCTACCCCGTTTAAACTGAACATATCATCATGGGAGACAAAACGTCTACCCCGTCTAAACTGAACACAATCATCATGGAGAACAAAACGTCTACCCCGTCTAAACTGAACACATCATCATGGGAGATAAAACGTCTACCCCGTCTAAACTGAACACATCGTCATGGAAAACAAAACGTCTACCCCGTCTAAGCTGAACACATCATCATGGAGGACAAAACGTCTACCCCGTCTAAACTGAACACATCATCATGGAGGACAAAACGTCTACCCCGTCTAAACTGAACACATCATCATGGAAGACAAAACGTCTACCCCGTCAAAACTGAACACATCATCATGGAGGACAAAACGTCTACCCCGTCTAAACTGAACACATCGTCATGGAAGACAAAACGTCTACCCCGTCTAAACTGAACACATCATCATGGAGGACAAAACGTCTACCCCGTCTAAACTGAACACATCATCATGGAGGACAAAACGTCTACCCCGTCTAAACTGAACACATCATCATGGAGGACAAAACGTCTACCCCGTCTAAACTGAACACATCATCATGGAAGACAAAGCGTCTACCCCGTCTGAACTGAACACACCGTCATGGAAGACTAAACGTCTACCCCGTCTAAACAAGGCATCGTCATGGAAGACAAATCGTCTACCCTGTCTAAACTGAACACATCGTCATGGAAAACAAAGCGTCTACCCCGTCTAAACTGAACTCATCATCATGGAGGATAAAACGTCTACCCCGTCTAAACTGAACGCATGGTCATGGAAGACTAAATGTCTACCCCGTCTAAACTGAACACATCATCATGGAGGACAAAACGTCTACCCCGTCTAAACTGAACACATCATCATGGAAGACAAAACGTCTACCCCGTCTAAACTGAACACATCATCATGGAGGACAAAACGTCTACCCCGTCTAAACTGAACACATCATCATGGAAGACAAAACTTTTACCCCGTCTAAACTGAACATATCGTCATGGAAGACAAAACGTCTACCCCGTCTAAGCTTAAGACATCATCATGGGAGACAAAACGTCTACCCCGTCTAAACTGAACACATCATCATGGAGGACAAAACGTCTACCCCGTCTAAACTGAACACATCATCATGGAGGATAAAACATCTACCCCGTCTAAACTGAACACATCATCATGGAAGACAAAGCGTCTACCCCGTCTAAACTGAACACATCGTCATGGAGGACTAAACGTCTACCCCGTCTAAACTGAACATATCGTCATCGAAGACAAAACGTCTACCCCGTCTAAACAACGCATCGTCATGGAAGACAAATCGTCTACCCTGTCTAAACTGAACGCATCGTCATGGAAAACAAAACGTCTACCCCGTCTAAACTGAACATATCGTCATGGAAGACTAAACGTCTACCCCGTCTAAACTGAACATATCGTCATCGAAGACAAAACGTCTACCCCGTCTAAACAACGCATCGTCATGGAAGACAAATCGTCTACCCCGTCTAAACTGAACGCATCGTCATGGAAGACAAAACGTCTACCCCGTCTAAACTGAACACATCATCATGGAGGACAAAACGTCTACCCCGTCTAAACTGAACGCATGGTCATGGAAGACTAAACGTCTACCCCGTCTAAACTGAACACATCATCATGGAGGACAAAACGTCTACCCCGTCTAAACTGAACACATCATCATGGAAGACAAAACGTCTACCCGTCTAAACTAAATGGATCGTCATGGAAGACAAAACGTCTACCCACACGTCGGATGACAAATCGTGGCGAAACATTAAGCTGAAACTTGGAAACTTTTCATACGATAAAGTTGAAACTTTCGTCCAGTCTGACCACAGCAAACCAGGCGTGGTGAGCCTCACGCAGTACCATGGCAACCCGTAGTTCTCAACTGTCATATTTACATAGCCTTTTACCCCCAAACAGCATAGTGGAAGGGTAGGCAGTATCAGTGACCGTCCCAGCAACAGTCACAGCGACACACCCATCCAGACCCAGCAATTGTCCAAGTAACAAACTCTGTGCCTGTGTTTTAATCGGAGGGGCTGACTATCCTGAACTTCCTGTACCGTAAATCAGAGGGGCTGACTATCCTGAACTTCCTGTACCGTTAGACGGACATAACCCAGCCTGTGTTTTAATCAGAGGGGCTGACTATCCTGAACTTCCTGTACCGTTAGACGGACATAACCCAGCCTGTGTTTTAATCAGAGGGGCTGACTATCCTGAACTTCCTGTACCGTAAATCAGAGGGGCTGACTATCCTGAACTTCCTGTACCGTAAGACGGACATAACACAGCCTATGTCTTAATCAGAGGGGCTGACTATCCTGAACTTCCTGTACCGTTAGACGGACATAACCCAGCCTATGTTTTAATCGGAGGGGCTGACTATCCTGAACTTCCTGTACCGTTAGACGGACATAACCCAGCCTATGTTTTAATCAGAGGGGCTGACTATCCTGAACTTCCTGTACCGTTAGACGGACATAACCCAGCTTGTGTTTTAATCAGAGGGGCTGACTATCCTGAACTTCCTGTACCGTTAGACGGACATAACACAGCCTATGTTTTAATCAGAGGGGCTGACTATCCTGAACTTCCTGTACCGTTAGACGGACATAACCCAGCCTATGTTTTAATCAGAGGGGCTGACTATCCTGAACTTCCTGTACCGTTAGACGGACATAACACAGCCTATGTTTTAATCAGAGGGACTGACTATCCTGAACTTCCTGTACCGTTAGACGGACATAACACAGCCTATGTCTTAATCAGAGGGACTGACTATCCTGAAATTCCTGTACCATAACCCAGCCTGTGTTCGCCACAAGATGTAAACAAGGAAGGAGTATTATCGCACAGGATAACACATTGCATGTTGTTGTGAAGAAAGATCTTTCCGTTCACTACATTTCCTGCACTGTTGCCCAGACCTTGCGACTTCGATGCATCCTGATGTGCTACATCCAGCGTAGTGTCCTCCCTTGTGATACATACATCGTGAACATCCAGATTATACTTAGTTTACTGCGAACCATGCTTGTCAGAAGAGGTAACTCATCTCAAGTTTACGACACGGTCTATGGTATTTCTTCCTATATTTCACATGACGAACATATCTGTTTATGCTGTTGAAAGTGTTATCCGTGGTTTTCAGGTTTATAGAACATTTTGGACACCTGAAGAGGATGAAATTTTGAATACTGAACGTGATGATCTAAATCATGCAGATCGTTACGCTGTAGCCGTAAAACGTGGTCATCTCATAGTTGGACATGTACCTAAAGCACAGAGCCAAGTGTGTAATTACATTCTCAAGAGAGGTGGCGATCTGACCATACAGGTGATAAATAAGGACTTTAAACGTTCAGATTTACCCCAAAGGTGGTTTTGAAATAAAAGCGTTATACATATTCACTGGCGTTACTAGTGACGTTGAAAAACTGTCTCGTATTTTGCCTGTTGTCTCATCTCTTTAGTCAGTATGTTCAAGTGGAGGTCCTACACTATCAAAGAAAAACTTGATGTTGTGAAGAAGGTAAAGCTTGAGTATGGGGGTAATCTGACCTCTGCATCAAGGAGTCTGGGAATTGATAGGAAACAGCTTAGAGAATGGTCTAAAAACGAGTCGAAATTTGTGGAGTTGGCACAGTCACCAAAGAGATTTCTGGACGCAGGGCGTAAACCAGCACTCCGTGAACTGGAACAATGTCTGTATGCGTGGTTCAAGGAACAGAGAAAGGAGAGAATGGTCGTAAACTATAAGAGAATTCGGGAACAAGCTCTCCGACTTGAATGTGAACTTGAACTTGGCACCAGTTCGATTAGTTTTATTATAGTGACAAGTGGATCTACAATTTCTGTCAACGCCACAACATTAAAAGCAGACGTGTCACACATCAGGGTCAGCTAGACAACCGAGATTATGTTGTTGTCACGACAATCATACAGGATCACCTTCGTAGAACAGCTTACGTTGGGTTACGATGCTGCTCATATCCTCAACATGGATGAAACGCCATGCTATATAGATATGACGACAGGAACAACGATGGATTTCATAGGCAACAAAAACGTCGATGCTGCCCATACTGGCAATGACAAGCATCGGTTTACAACCGTACTTTGTATAACTACCAGTGGCAGTTTTCTCAAATCAATGGTGATTCTGAAAGGACTTAAGAAGCTGCCAACATGTGATGTACCTTCAAACATTCATCTGGCCGTTTCGTCTGGTGGCAGCATGCACGAAGCCCTGATGCTTCAATGGATTGACAAAGTATTGAGATGTCGTGGACCTTTCATCAGTTTTGAGCCATCAGTTCTATTCATGGACAGCCATAGAAGCCATAGTATGCCGAAAGCGATCGATACACCATCTGGAGCAGTGGAACATACTGACGAAGATCATTCCTCCGAAGATGACACCTTTTCTACAACCCCTTGACCTCAGTGGTGGAGTAAACGGCATCTTCAAGACCAAAATGCGTGAACAATGGAACGATTGGTTCGAGAATGGAGAAACAGAGTTCACTGCTAAGGGATACAGAAGGCGGCCATCTTATAGGGCAATTATTGCAAATGGTGTCCAAGGCGGTTATCTTATGCGAAAGGTCAACCGTGGCAAGATCATTCCAACTTCGTGGTATTGCTCTGAATGGAGAAAAGGTGGCTATAACGGATCTGAAGAGTCGACTGCGAGGGAGCCTCGGATATAAGGTAGGGTTGGAGGAGGGTGACATGGATATAGACGATGATGACGCAAGCGACGTTGATGACGAAGATCCTTTTGGTGACATTGAGCTGTTTGATTGACTTGTTAGAAACCCCATAAATAATGGCGCAAGCGGTGTCGACTGCGATGATCCTTTCTGCGATGGACTGATTCGTTTGAACCCCATAGTTCTCATGACGAATTGTTAAACATTTCAAAGTTTTCAAGATATATACTAATATGATTGTCACTTTAAAAAAAATCCGAATAAAAGCCCATGTTTCCGAATATAAGCCCGGGCTTCTATCTGGTGTCAAAGTTCACTTGTAAAAACCCTATTTTCGGTATAGAAGCCCTGGGTTTGCTTTCGGAAAACCCCGGTAGGTTTTGTACTGTTTTTTCAAATATACATATCAATAACAGTGTATGAAATAAGCCAAAAAACCAGCCAGACATCTGGGCTGGTAACTTCAAAAAAATACCAGCCCAGAAGAGATTTAACCAGTCCATCTTAAATACTAAATAGACGTGCCAGTGGACACTTTATTTGAATATTTTGTTCACCCGTCCATCGGGCTGGCAAGCTGTAACATCTGACCGTACGGCAGAAATCTAGCCCGTCTCGGGCGGTCGGACGGGCCTTATTTCATACACTGTTATATAAGTGTTCGCCATAACATTACTGTTTTGCTCTCGCTACCTTTCGGCGATACTCCGGCATGCTCTGTGCGTCAAAAAGGTGAAAGTTAAAAAGCGCAACGTCGAAATGAGCACTTAGCTAATAATTCAAAAATGTATGTAGATATTGTGGGAGCTGACAGACAATACTAATATGCCACCAAAAACACGTTTAAATACTTAAAACATTTGATACTTCAATCAAAATACACTGTAATGATCTGTAAATAAATTGAATTCATGTTTCACACAAAGGCCCGCTCACGTTTTGTGTCAATTCCGATCCCGTTTGCTACAGTTTTCGCGCACTACACAAGGTGACTTGGCAGCACAAAGCTATGGAAAATGCATGGTTTGTATCGTAATTGGGGTATTTTGTTGAAAACAGCTGCATGTACAATTATACCAAAGGCGATGCTTGTCTGATGACAGAATATGTTTTGGTATCATGCCGCCGCGGTAAGAGTTCCTCCCGTTCCCCCATCCCAAATAATATTTATAAATATACTAAAATTATTTTAACAAAACAACAATTACTAAAGAACTCACAACATGACTAAAAGTCCAAAATTTAAGTTAGGGTTAGGTTTAGGGTTAGTTTAGAGTTAGGTTTAGGGTGTGGGGAACGGAAGGAACTCCCTGCTCTCTTTACCATAATTTGTTTCAGTTATACATTATTTATATCAAGAGTTTCTAACCTTCAAATATAACTTTGTGACTCATGCTTTGAACCCTGTCCCTCTGGGTGTTTATGTGCAGTTTATATCAGAGTAAAAATACCAGTGTAAAGTGATGAAATGTTATTTTGCACCATTTTCATGCTAATAATACTAATGACCTTAATCTGGGTACAAAGATAGTCCTGTTAGATGTGGAAATCATATCCAGTCCAGTTTATGCCTGGTAAGTTAATTTTATTTCTCAAAAGTTTCTGAATATGAAACATTGTAAATTCATAATTTATGTATGCTGCTAGGAGGATAACCTAATCTAGTAGTAGTATTTTAAATACTTTATCTGTTCAGAAGAAAAAATATAATTTCTTGAGCTTGGCAGAGGAGAAATATGATCTTCAAATTGCAGAATCAGAGGGGGAGTCTCTGAGGCATTCCAAGGGAGGAAGGGGTAGGTAATGTGATCCAGAGAATAATACCTTCACGTTAGTAGGTTTAAATTGGGAATACTAGTTTTACAACTTTGTTAAATTTATTTCTACCTAAAATAGGGATGTCACGATACATAAGTTTCATGAATCGATACGTATCACGATACTCATGACATGATTCAATATGTATCATGATACCTATTTTCACTGCATTATTGTGTAAATTTAGTTACATTTTTAACATTGATATTTCCTATTTTATAATTGTCCATGAAAAGATCAACATTTTTTATCCCCCGCCGCTCATTTAGCGCGAATTGGGGGATATAGTATTATGGTTCCGTCCGTCCGTACGTACGAATTGGAATATCTTAAGAACCATTAACTGGATTCTTATCATATTTAGTACCTAGGTTCATCACAGTGAAAGAAAGGTCCCAGTCAGGATTGGTGACCTTGACCTTCATTTCAAGGTCACGAGGGGACTTTAACGTTTTACCCTTGTCAGCGAGATACCTCAAGAACCGTTCACTGGATTTTCTTCATATACGACATCAAGCTTTAGCGACGGAAGGCGCACAGCCCAGTTGATTTTGGTGACCTTCCCTTAACTTTGGAATAACATTATGTACAGATAGTCTGTCGTTGATGACAAATATGAAAAAATTCAAGAAAAACTGTACTTACTCTCTTAACAAGCAGTTCCAGACAAGTATTGTGGTTCTGATCGTGGAAAACTTTATAGAAAATGTAGATTTTTTTAAAACTGGCAGAATTTGATCTTTTCATATATCAATAGGGTAATTTTCAACACTTTGAAGTTTTTCTATTGACTTTTGCACTTGAATGATGTCCAAACATTTGCAAGTCAAAACTTAATCCCTACAATAATCATGTCTTTTATAGAGATATCATTTTCACTTTTAGGTTACTATCTACTCATATCTTACCACAGTTTCATAGAAAGTTGATGCGTGTCGTGTTTCGTAGTGCACACAATTCAGACCAGAACCATGAAGAGTAAATATTGGCTTCTCTCAATACAGATTATACAAATTAACATATTGCCCACTTTTTGTTGTTTTTCTGTGGTCAATAATTCAATCTTCCATTGGATAATCAGGTGTATAAAAGTTCTGACACCATTCTGTTCAAATCACAGGGGTGGCTGGGGGTGGGTATGCGTTGGTTCTCAATTAAATTTGTTTTACCTAATTGTATCAGGTGTTTAAATGGGTTGTTATCAAATGAATCATGTAATTGTTAATACATTTGCATTAATGTTTTGGTGTCCTTAATACACAGTAAATTCAGCAAATGAGAACCGAAGACACCTGTATTCCATGTCAGCAGATACATTTTCTTCCTTTACTTTTTCAGGTTTCAGATGCAGTATCTGTGAGAAGGTACTGACATGTAAAGGTGGATATACTGTTCATCAGCAGATGCACTTGAAGTCAAAAGGTACCACCAGATTTTAAAGTACTGTCGGAAATGCTAGAAAAATGCTTTTTACCCTTAATATCTTTAGAAAGGTGATAAATGTATTATGTTGTCAATATATCAACTCACCTATAGTGTACCTAATTTTTATTTCAATTGATTTAACATTCCCATGCATTTAAAGGGCAGCTTACAGGGGAGAATTTGGTAACAAAACAACAACTTAAGATTTTTTCAGAGTTCAACATCAGAAATCTGAAATAGTCTTTACATTTATGCTAATAATACAGGTGGTGTAAAAATATAAATTAACGTTTTTCTTAAAGAAATAAATGTTGAATGTTTGTGTTACTTTACTGAATTATCGTTTCTTTATTGAAGCAATATTAATATAAATGTTAAGTCTTGATAAATATGTTTCCCGTCATGCATGCACACAGCGTCCATTATGGCCAACGATTTGCAGTCGTTTGTTGCAAAGGTTTATAAGTTTTTTGTGCTTGAAAAAGACAGAGGTAAACCTTTCGTTAGTATAGAAATGGTTGAATACAAAACTTGTAGAGCTGTTGGTATGTCTTACCAACAAGTTTACAATGTTCTAGACAAATCAGACAAGACAGGGACCGTCTCAAAAGCAAGACCGGGACGTAAGACCATCCTTGACAACTTTGACAAGGGAGTACTTCTACGGGCGGTCTACAAACTTTAGGAGAAGAATAATATATATATTCTAAAGAAGCTACACCAGTGACTTCGTTATATCTTTGGAAAAATGTTCACAACTAGATTAAACTGACAGAATTACATCCATATTTTTGCAATGAAATACACTGTTGACATGCAAAACATTTATTAAAACGTTGCACATTTCTACAATAAGTCGATTAGATAACACAAGAGATAGGATTCTTTCCGAAGTACAGGAATTCGTATGGTTATTTCACAACAAACACACATACACAAATGATCCCTTACATAACCAATATGTATACTATACGTACACATATTCAGCATTTTGAAGAAAACATCTATTGAGATGACCCCTCACCCAAGCGTGAGCTCAGGTGTCAATTTCACCTGTCGATACCGTGCATGCTGATGACGTAAAACAGGCAGTTCATGTTTGTATCAAATACCGTCCCACTACCCCTTATTTTTCGAAGTTTTTGGTATTTTCATCAGTAAGAACGCATTATAGGGCATGTCTCAAAATGTATTCCCTCGGTCTACATTAGGTAGATGTTTCTTAAAGTGATATTTGTTATTTAAGTAACTATAATACCTCTGAATTTTAAATATAACTCAAAAAAGCATTTTCCTAGCATTTCGGACAGCACTTTAGTAGTTTCTTTCTAGATATCAAGATAAGTGAACACCCATAACATATCACATCTTTCTTGTGGGCAGACAGCAGTACGTGAAAGTTAACGGGGCTGTATCGAGTAAACGGACCACCAACACTGGTGCACCACAAGGCTGTGTAATATCTCCTGTTCTTTTCACCCTCTACACTAATGATTGTGCAAGCTCGAATTCAGCCTGTTCAACTGTAAAGTTCGCAGATGATGCAGCAATTGTCGGCAAACTGAACGACACTGATTCTGAAGAACTGTATAAAGAGGACATTAATCATTTTACGACTTGGTGTGCAGAAAACCACTTACTCTTAAATGTCACAAAAACAAAGGAACTAATAATTGACTTTCGGAGTAAACCCACAGAACTGCTTCCAGTAATAATCAACGGTAAATGTGTTGAGACAGTGTCGGAGTATAAGTATCTGGGAACCTTCATTGACTCTAAGCTGAACTGGAACTCTAACACTGAAGCCCTATACAAAAAGTGTCAACAACGTCTTCATCTCATGCGTAAACTGAGATCTTTTAATGTTAACCCATCTGTGATGTCATCTTTTTATCTAGCATTTATTCAGAGTATTTTAACATTTTCCTTCCATTGTTGGTACGGGTCTCTCTCAGTTCATCTCAAATCTAAAATAGACAAAATTGTTAACACTGCAAGTAAAATCGCTGGAGTCAGATTTGAATGTTTATCATCAATATATGAGCGACAAATCGTGAACCAAGCTGTCAAAATCATATCTGACCGTACTCACTACTTAAATTCGGAATACAACCTTCTCCCTTCAGGCCGCCGCTACAAAGTTCCAATTGTGAAAACTAAGAGAGCCCGTACATCCTTTATTCCAAGTACCATATCTCTCTTAAACAAATGTGAAGATACCTAAATCAAAGAATTTATGTAAATATGTTTGGTATCTCTCTAATGTGTCAGTAGCTCTGCTGATGTAACACAAATTCCTGAAAAGGCATTAAAGTATTATTCTATTCTATTCTATTCTATTCTATTCTATTCTATTCTATTCTATTCTATTCTATTCTATTCTATTCTATTCTATTCTATTCTATTCTATTCTATTCTATCATGATACAAAGTCAAGAATGTGTTTAGCTTGACCGCTCTTTCATATTACTGGCAGATCCTTTGTAAATCAATCAAGCTTTTGCTACTAAATTCTATTGTATACAACTAGGATGTGTTGTCAAAAGGTCTGTGTTTATGATGAATAGGATGTATTGTGTTGACCACCGGGCACATCCTATTTGCTATAATCACAGCCCATGTGGGCAACACATCCTATCACATCATGTGTATTATCAGTACACCTTTGGGCAACACATCATATCTATTATCAGTACACCTTTGGGCAACACATCATATCTATTATCAGTGGACCTTAGGGCAACACATCATATCTTTTATAAGTTGACATGTGGGAAAAACATCTTATCTATTATCAGTTGACCTTTAAGCAACACATCATATCTATTATCAGTGGACCTGTGGGCAACACATCTTATCTATTATCAGTTGACCTGTGGGCAACACATCATATCTATTATTAGTGGACCTTTAGGCAACAAATCATATCTATTATCAGTACATCTTTAGGCAACACGTCATATTTATTATCAGTACACCTTTAGGCAACACGTCATATGTTTTATCAGTACAGCTGTGGGCAACACATATACATGATCAGTACACCTTTAGGCAACACATCATATGTATTATCAGTACACCTTTGGGCAACACATCATATCTATTATCAGTTGACCTGTGGGCAACACATCATATCTATTATCAGTTGACCTGTGGGCAACACATCATATCTATTATCAGTTGACCTGTGGGCAACACATCATATCTATTATCAGTTGAACTGTGGGCAACACATCATATCTATTATCAGTTGAACTGTGGGCAACACATCATATGTATTATCAGTTGAACTGTGGGCAACACATCATATCTATTATCAGTACACCTGTGGGCAACACATCATATCTATTATCAGTACACCTGTGGGCAACACATCATATCTATTATCAGTACACCTATGGGGAACACATCATATCTATTAACAGAACAACCTTGAGCAACACATCATATCTATTATGAGTAGACCTTTGAGCAACACATCGTGTCTGTTATCAGTACACCTTTAGGCAACACATCATATGTATTATCAGTACACCTTTAGGCAACACGTCATATGTATTATCAGTACAGCTGTGGGCAACACATCATATGTATTATCAGTACAGCTGTGGGCAACACATCATACGTATTATCAGTACACCTTTGGGCAACACATCATATGTATTATCAGTACACCTTTGGGCAACACATCATATCTATTATCAGTACACCTTTAGGCAACACATCATATGTATTATCAGTACACCTTTGGGCAACACATCATATCTATTATCAGTACACCTTTGGGCAACACATCATATCTATTATCAGTACACCTTTGGGCAACACATCATATCTATTATCAGTACACCTTTAGGCAACACATCATATGTATTATCAGTACAGCTGTTAACATCATATGTATTATCAGTACACCTTTAGGGCAACACATCATATGTATTATCAGTACACCTTTGGGCAACACATCATATGTATTATCAGTACACCTTTGGGCAACACATCATATGTATTATCAGTACACCTTTGGGCAACACATCATATGTATTATCAGTTGAACTGTGGGCAACACATCATATGTATTATCAGTACACCTTTGGGCAACACATCATATCTATTATCAGTACAACCTTGAGCAACACATCATATCCATTATGAGTAGACCTTTGAGCAACACATTATGTCTGTTATCAGTGCACCTTTAGGCAACACATCATATGTATTATCAGTACACCTTTAGGCAGCACGTCATATGTATTATCGACCCGTGAAGATCCGGGGTAGAATAGGTCTTCAGCAACCCATGTGCTTGCCATAAAAAGGCGACTATCTTGTCGTAAGAGGCGACTAACGGGATCGGGTGGTCAGTTTCGCTGACTTGGTTGACACATGTCATCGGTTCCAAATTGCGCAGATCGATGCTAATGTTGTTGATCACTGGATTGTCTGGTCCAGAATCGATTATTTACAGACCGCAGCCATATAGCTGGAATATTGCTGAGTGCGGCGTAAAACTAAACTCACTCACCCACTCATATGTATTATCAGTACAGCTGTTGGGAAAACATCATATGTATTATCAGTAGAGCTAGGGGCAACACATATACATGATCAGTACACCTTTGGGCAACACATCATATGTATTATCAGTACACCTTTGGGCAACACGTCATATGTATTATCAGTACACCTTTGGGCAACACGTCATATCTATTATCAGTACACCTTTAGGCAACACATCATATCTATTATCAGTACACCTTTGGGCAACACATCATATGTATTATCAGTACAGCTGTGGGCAACACATCATATGTATTATCAGTACACCTTTGGGCAACACATCATATGTATTATCAGTACACCTTTGGGCAACACATCATATGTATTATCAGTACACCTTTGGGCAACACATCATATCTATTATCAGTACACCTTTGGGCAACACATCATATCTATTATCAGTACACCTTTTGGGCAACACATCATATCTATTATCA